CGTGTGTAAGATATTTACAGGACTATGTTTATGCCATCATCTACACAACCTTTATTAAAACCACTTTAGGTTTATAAATTTTTCGCAAGACAAGTATATATGTAATTTGTCTTATCAGTAGCAAACTTGCTTTACTCGAAAACTATGCGTTTGTTTCCCATAAACTTACAGAGCTTAACATGCTTGAAATACCACCATTCTTACCCTAGCAGAATGCAAAAATCCCTGAACGTTGCAGCCGATGCGAAACTTGGTCACAAAGTCTGTCGCTGTTTCTGATTATACCCCGTGTGAACTCTCTTCTCGGTTTGCAGTGGTGATTTCCAAACGTTTTGAAGATCAAGATTAAATAAGATTAAATATGATTTGATACTTTTCGCATTTTGACGGTTATACTATGACGTGGTTATAATACCATCGCAGTAATGTTTTTAGTTTGGTCTATAGTTTATCTCTCTGTTTATTTTTACAGCCATTTACCTGTTATTAATCCGACAAAATTTTATCACCTTTTATGGACGTCAAAAATTAGGATTCTTTAGGAATCATGTTTGCACAACATACCATCAGTTTCAAGTTCAAATCATATGGGGCATCAGTTCAAATGCGACTGCAATTCCTCTCGAACAAGTGACCACAGGAAAGAAGATAGGACAATTTGTAACCATCTTCTACGCAGTTCCATAAAATCTACTGTGCGTTATTTTCTGGTGCAGATCATAGCAAGTTATTGAACTCTGACACGATATCATGAAAAGGGATGTGATGTCGCATTATAGATAGTTTCTACAGTTTGATAGTCGCCACACGGGTCATCTTCCGTTTTCTTTAGACCTAGTTATGTCCATTTTTGTTACTTAGAAAGACTACATGCCGGTTTCCCGGCCGAGATTCGAATCCACGGTTTTTCGACTGTTAGTTCAATGATCCTCCGATTGGCGGTCTTTGACATTGTTATTCAATTAACTTGGGTGTATAAATGCATTCTTCCCGGGCATTTTTTTGTTATTTTCATCCGCATCTAACTAAACTAAACTTTATTGAAACAGTTGCTCACAAAGTGACCAAGTTGAATTTCAGCCGGAGATACTTCATGTCATTGTAGACGACGTTCCTCCTGCAGAGACAGGTACCTCAGAAAGAGAATTCAACCATTCCGATCCTGTGCCAGAGTCTGAGCCTCGGCAGAAGACAACTGGAATCTAAAGCAGACTCCTTCATCGCACTTGCACCAGGTAAAACCTGACCTCCCATAGGTCTTCTGTCGGTCGGTTTGGCAAGTAGTAATTACTTTGCTTTTTATTCTGGAGGGACGTGCCAAAACCATCGCAGCTACGACTTATCAATCTGAAGAAGCAGCAACTATACACCAAGGCGGTCTCGGATTTGTGTACTCCGGACCAGGTCGAGTTGTGACCACCTAGTTGTCTCAAAAAACTCATTTCAGCCGTTTGTACGAGGGTTCGAAATCTTTCAGTCATGGTCCACGATTTATCACCATAGACGAGCATGGAGATGAAGATGGACTTGTAGTCTGAGAGATTAGTGTTGAGACTCAGCTCTCCTTAAGTCAAAACGATTGGAACCTGATCAGCAGAATACCGTTAACAATTCCATTTCGCCGATCAATTTTTCTCTCTCATTTTTCATCACCAATACGTACGACTATTAGGTACGCAGACTTGTCCATCTGTTACAATGCTTCTTCGGGCATCTGCAGAGCGCAACAGACATCATAATCAGAAAGCACTGAGCTCTTTGTTCTATATGCATTCACACGCATGCCGAAATTCTCATACTTGGCGGTGAGCCTTGTTGAAGAGCGCCGGAAACCAGTTTCAAAATAGGCATCAAAATACGGGCGTCTGCAAACAGCAACTTTTTCGTCTCTATATTTCTTGTTATAATATACTCATCGCTCTAACTATTCCTCACTGTTCCATGCATGCACATCACCAAACGGAGAGGGGACAGAACGCTGCCTTGGCAAAAACTACTGCTAACGTTGAAAGGTTGGCTTAACGCCATTTACTCTGACGCAGCACCTGCTATCAGCAAAGAGTAACCGGATGGACGGCAGCAACTGACCATCGATCCCGATGTTTGCAGGCACGGCCAAAGATTATTGTGCGGGATCCAGTCATAGGCTTTCACTAGGTCTACAAAGCAAATAAACCAGCTGAGCGAGCTCCCGCGATTTTTCAATAATCTGGCGTAGGTCGAATGTTTTGTCAGACTTGCTTCGGCCAGAGCGGAAGTCGCACTGCTCTTCTATTTTTGAGTCACTT